ACGTGCATCATATCAATTTCATTTTTACCTTCTTTGTTTTTAAAGCCAAAATGCATCCAAGCATCTGACTTGAAATGTGATGGAGCCGTGGGGCGAATTTTCATAGTGTCCTCCAAGTTTTATTTCATATGACTCATCTCAGTATCCCACGGCCACAAATGCTTGTGACACAAAGCAGTGGGTGTCAACACATCCGCAGCGACATCTGCTGGACTGGAAGCTGTATTCCACTTGATTTGGGTGATGTGTGCCAACCATTAATGTATTTTATTTGTTCTTTTTTTTTTTTTATAATCAATTCTTTCCTTCAAGAATCGATGCAGTAGATCACAAAAATTAGAATCACGATGCATCTTCATGACGATTATTTTGCACACCCTTAATCTACAGGATGTTTTCTACAAAAAACACGCAATTTTTTAAATTATTTTCATATAAATTCCCTCTTGTCTTGCAGAGCCAACTGTTGCACAGGACTTATTTTGGCCTTACATGCACCATGTCATCGGAATTGGATTTTTTTCTATCATAGTAATTTCCATTATGTTATATTAAAGGGGTCATAGAATGCAAAACCAAGTGTCCATTGTCTTAGATGAATAATGATAGTTCAGTGGGTGAAATAACGTACAGAGAAGTTCAAACACCATCGAAACCTAATTTCTCTGCAAATCTCACAATTCTAAACTTCCACCATAAAACAGGCGAATCCAAACGAAGCCCCGAGTTGTAATCAGTTGTTGGATGTTGCCTTATTTGGTTCTGGTCTGTACTTTTGTCACGCCCCGAAATTAACATACAGACCAGCCCACTGGTTCACTTGCCTAAGAACATCAATTGAGGTAGATGTAAGACACCATTTTAGCTGTTTAGCCTACAGTTGGGTTTATTTCTACAAGAATTACAAAGCAGGCAGTTTCTCTATTGAAAATGCTGAGCCGCTGACTGGACCGGGGGGCAGCGCGCCAGCCTGGGACAGAGTTACCAAATCCGACCCGGTGAGCCTGGACACCGGCGGCCCCATGCTTCCCCCCACCTGACCAATACGGCAGGCGGAGTGGAGCATACCGTCAGCGGGTCGGGTTCGGTCGCTTCGTCCCCGGCTGGCTCGCTGCCCCCGTCCGCCAGGGGACCAGCCCTGGAGCTCACGCCTCAGTTCTGCTGCACTGTAGTCGAAATTCCCCCTGGACATTTTTTTTAGGTATGAAAAGTAGGGCATGTCCAGGAAAAAGAGAAAGTCTGGTCACCCTACCATATCAACAATCTCAATGTTTCAGTGAGTGAGTGCTTGTTGCTATGATGCATCTTTGCTCAGCAGCTTTGCTCGTTGTAAACCAACCAATCAGCGCACAGCTCATCTAAATAGTAATGTCGCTTCATTCTGGGGCTCTAAACCAGGCTTGCATTAGGGCGCATAGAACAGCAAATATGCCATTTTCAGCCCAACCAATGTTACATACCCTATTCAGAGACCTTAAGGACCAGCACTAAATACCCTATATAACAATGACCCCTATAAGAACGATGCGATGGTTTTTACCCTTGGTAGAAGGCGCTGAAGTCGTAGTAGCCAGCGGTCTCCTCCCAGCATGAGCACCCCCTGCAGGCGTCCCCTGGCTCTGCTCCTCACAGGAACCCAGGCGGCGCAGAGCATCAGCCAAGGCTGCTTTCAGCAGCTGGATTTCATCCTCCTGCAGCTGCAGCCTCTGTTCTAGATGAGAAACTCTGTCCTCCATGTCCATGTTGCTGCTGGCCGACACCGTGTCATCTGGACAAAAAGTCGGATTTTTAGTAAAAACTTGGATTAAAAACAGCAGAAACAGTGAAGCAGGCTTAACCCACTCAGAGACGTGTAGAATTACACATTAATTCAAACAAGAAATTAAAACATTGGTGGTGGATGAGGAGGAAGTGTCCAAATGAATTATTAGTCATGGTTTCACACTGAGCAACAAGGACAGAACAAAAAAGCAAAACCAAAAATGAAGAGATTCAGCTATTTTATGCTTTTTAAAATTAATATTATATCTCTAAGTTGCAGCTTCAGTTTGTGAGAAGTTTCTACTAAATTCTAACCGGTTCAAATGATTTACAGTGAAATGAGTCTGAACCAGAGATAAAAGGAGGGAAAACAAGGAAAGCAAAACGACAACAGTTTATGATCTGAGTCAGAGCTGCAGAAAAACAAAGCTTTGTTTGTTTGGTTGTTTTTTCCACAATAATGTATTAAGATTTTTAAAAATCACTTTGTTTTACTGTGTGGAAATGTCATCATTCAAACCTTGTCTATATTGGACTTTAATAGTGCAGCATCTTAAGAAAGTTGATAAAGCCGCCTGGAA